CTAATATATACAGTGTAGATAGAGGACCATTAGAGCATTATAATGATTAATATATGACCCATTCGTATCAGTCTATACTATATAAAAAAAAACAAGAGAACACATCATCATGAAATTAAAAACTTTTAGAAAAAAAAATCAAATTTTAAGACGTAACGGGTGGGCCATAATAAATGTCCCACTTTTGCATTTTATTTTTCCACAACTTAATACGTTGTATTAAAAAAAACAAAATATACCAAAACATGCAGCGTGAAAAGCTCTACAATTTACACAAGACCGCTTTTTTTTATAGTTGCACTTTTTACTTTACAAATGATCAAAATTTGTAGCGGTTAAATTTCGACTGTGCGAAAATTGATCGCAGAGAATTTTGCTTTTATACAAAACAATTATAATAAGTTGTCGCGTGTAAAATGAAGAGCTTTTCTCGCTGCATCTAGTGATATATTTTGCTGTTCTTTTAATAAGAGACCCTCAGGTGATAAAAAGATGAAATAAGAAAAAAACAATCTATCTCGTAGAAAAAAAAATATTGTTTTTGCGTGGTCAAAATTTGATTGCTTAGCTAATTTTGAAAACAAAAAGTGCACCTATTAAAAAAGCCGTCTTCTATAAATTGTAGAGCTTGCCAAACTGCATTCTGTGGTATATTTTGTTTCTTTTTAATAAAACACATCAGATGATAAGTAAGAAAAAAACAAATTGATCGTGTATTGAAAAATGCATTTTTTTCGCAGCAGCAAAATCTAATTGCTCAGAATTTTTGATAGCTTTGAAAACAAAAAGTACAACTGTAAGAATAGCTGTCTTGTATAAATTGTAGAGCTTCTCCTGTTGCATCTAATGGTATGTTTTGTTTTCTTTTTAAATAGAAGATATCAGGTAATAAAAAGATGAAACGAGAAAAAACGAATTCATCTTTTACCAAAAAAAAAAAATAATTTTCGCACAGTCCAAATTTGATCGCTCTATATTTTGTCGGTTTTGAAAGCAAAAAGTGTAACTGTAGGAAAAGCTACCCTGTATAAATTGTAGAGCTTTTTACGCTGCATTCTGTGGTATATTTTGTTTTTCTAATACAACGTATTAAGTTGTGGAAAAATGAAATGCAAAATTGGGACATTTATTATGGTCCACCCGTTACTTTTAGTTGTTCAGACTTTAGCATTTATTTTCGTTATTAGAATGAAAAAATCTGTCAATAAATTTATATCACTAACCTAATAATCAGCCCATTCAGAAAATTCAAAGTAGGGATATTTCAATTTTTTTATTGTAGTGCTGTTTATGATCTATTCTGCGTATTAATCTTCAAATCAAAATAAAGTTTTATGGACTAAATTTCAACAGAATATCGATATCATTTTACCATTGGATGCTAAACAAATATAAAATTCGCTTTTTTTTTTTATCACTCTTAATCGAGTTATAAATATTCTATAATGAAGTGATTCCCAAATGTGTAGTTCTTTTAGTTAATTTAACCACATTAAATAAATAAAACTTGTATTACAGATTAAAATAAGACAAGTCATAAAAAATAGTAATATAAATGAAAGTAAGATCTTATGTTTAAATTAGCCACTCGATGTTGATACATGACTTGCTATCCATTCCGACAAAGCGTCTGGATTTCGTGTCTAAATATATATATAATTTTTCTATTGAATGAAAAAATATTTCTTTTTTTTTTTTATATTACTTGGATATAAACTATTCCAGGACCAGTAAATCGACAAACAAGTCCTTCACCAGCATGCATTCCACTCATAAGACCACCACCAGTTCTTTCAATTGAATATGGACAATTCCATGCAACTAAATGTCCATTATCAACAATCCATTGTTCACCTTGCTTTAATTGACGTTGTACAATAGCACCAAGTGACGTGACAAAAATAATTCCAACACCTGATACACGATGAACAAAAAGACCTTCACCAGAAAACATTGCTTTACCTAATCCTTGTGATTTTGTTTCTTTTACAACACCATGAGTCATAGCTAAGTAACCACCTTTGCCTACACTCCATTGAGTTTGACCATCTAATTGAATAGGAACGATATCACCCCTGTAAAATAAATATAAAAATAATTCTTATCTTTATTTTATCATAAGAGCTAATAGGGTATTAAAATATTTTAAACAGAGTTCTTAAGTTTTCCTAGTTGAAAAATGTTTCACGTAAATTTACTATAAAAGTAAAGTATAGAATACTAGTATCAGTTAGAAGCTAATGAAAATCTTACCAAATAGGTGGTGCAAGTAGTATTTCTCCAGGACCAGTAAATGTTGATTGAGCCATTTCACCACCTGTCAACATTTTTTTAAATGAAAATTTAAATTTTCCTTTGAGTGTCACTTCTGGACTCATAGCAACCATAGCTCCTGGTTGTGCATAAAATGGAGTATTTGGTTGTAATGTTATTGAAAGAAGTGCATTTGTATCACGATGATCTATTTTGTAATAACCACCATTAAATTGCCCTATCACATCTGCTATACTATTAGAAGCCAACGGTTGTGCTGTTGCCATTTGTCTGTAGAAAAATGCTTGAGAATTTTTTTTTTTCTATTTGATATGAAACGTGTAGTAATACTAAAATCTTTATATATATATATATATACTTCACAAAAAAAACACTAGTCAAGTATGCGCGTAGAAGAAAAAGGAATGGGTTAACTATGCCGGGCATACAAAGTTATCGACGTCATCAAGGGCTTGAGGGTGGTTTGATGGGAGACATAAAAAAAAGAGAAAAAGTATTACTAATCGAATGAGTCAGAAATTCAATGGAAGGAAGAGAAGAAAATACAGAGTGAAGTTTGTCGACGACAGTAAAAAGATAAATAAGAGAATAGGGTGCTATGGAGAATCAACGAATGAATTCACAACACGTTTGTTATTTTTAACAACAATAACTAAAGATGTATATACGTCATACTCGAATCAGATATTCGATGTATGAAAATGTTTGCTATATGAATAATACTATATTGATATTTCAATCAGAATAAGGCCTTGAATATCTCTATTACACATTGACGTTACATAAATAAAAATAAATTATAAATTTCTTCTCATTAAGTCTGCATATTTGTCATACTTGGTTCTTTTTAAACATGAAATATGTTTGAGGCATATTCATACATCATTTACGACGAATATTTACCAAGTTATCAAAATAAATTTCAACAATTCAAATATTATTTTGAAAATAAATTCGTGATTATATTACATTACAGTTGTCTGTATAAACTATTTAACAAAAAAAAAAATTCAAATTTCAAAAAGTAGTAATTCGAGCAACTGTTGATGATTTGTCATTTAATTACGATGAATTCATTAAGCGTCTATGACTCAACCATAGTATAATTTAAAGTAAAAACAACAAAAACTAATAAAGGTCAAATGAAATGGCGCCTTCAAAAAGAATGGTAAAAACATTTAATCAAAGACGGCATCTTCATTCGTACACTTATTGTATTAAAATACAAGCAAATATCACACTTAATATTAAACAAATGAGCACTAAGGATTTAAAACCACATCTATAGGGTGAACCATAAATAACACTATAATCAAAAATTGAAAGATCTCTACTGGGGCTCACTCGAGTAGGCTGATATTTTTCGTTAATGATAGAATAATTTTTTTGTTTCTTACGAATAGTTAATATAAACAAATATTACTGTCAAGTTATATTTTTGACCTTACTAAAGAAATTTCATCTAGTATCAAGCAAGAAAAATATATATCAAGCGTTTCGTAGATAATCTTCAGTTACTTTCTAAGAAAATAAGAAGAAGAAATCAAAACGAACTATATTGATGGCATATAGAACGAATTTTTAAAACTAATAGTCAGTTTAACTGTGGAAGTTCGAGGTCCTATAAGTAAAACGCCTCATTCTAAGTTTTTGGGTATCAACTTCCTTGCCAAAATCAATGTTCCATGTTTGGAAATTCAAAATGTTGTAATTATTGACTTCGAAACTGACTAGTTCTGAGAAGTTGTTCTATGTGAATCGATATATTATCATTCATAATGTTCATTTTGATTTCTTATTATAACTCTTGTACAATAATTGAAAATTATCCTTGAAATGCTTTATTGGTATTTTTTTACTTCACAACAGGTGAAATTTCTTTAATGAAACGAAAAGTTTAGCTTGACATTACTATTTGTTTACGCTATCCGTATGAAAAAAAAAACTTAAAATAACCTTCTGACACTAAACAAAAAAACAGCTTATTTGAGCAAACCGAAGCAGCGATATTTCAGCTTTTTATCCTACCGCTATTTATGGCCTACCCTGTAGATACAGTAGCTCTTATTGTAATGGTAAATGATCATCACTGTCTTTCTCCTATGTATTTTTTTTTCTTCTCTTCTATGTGTGAACTATTGACCGTTTCTTTGAGTATGATTTGGGTTTTTTCGTCTCTTGTTTGATCGAGTATTCTTTCGTTGGGATATAGAATAACATAGCTTGAGCGATGGAGTAGTATAGTAAACATAATTTACTAAGGATACCGGTCACACTATTCATCTAGTTTATCATTGTTGATCACACTATAATTAACACTACAATAGTGGTAGTGAAGTAATCTATTTGTATTTGGCTACACTAATCCTATTCTCAACATTACGATAACCTAGTTATAAGTTAACTAATAGTCTCCTTTTTGTAATCTCAGTCACTCAGCAATCTTTTCTTCGAAGTTAATTCATCCATATATAATCGTATCAGTAAAAGAATTATTGATATTTGAAATTTAAAAGAAAAAAAAATTATTACTTGAAGATACATACATGACTTAAGCGAAAGTAGATCAATATCAAAATAAGTTGTAAGTGAATTTCTGGAGTGACAATCGAGCTTGTTTTTGAATATCAGAGAAGTGTGTTCAAATGTTGTTATTTATTTTCCTTTTGATGCATAGAATATATTTTTAATTCTGGTTTGATTCTTTTTTTACATTTTCTCTAATCTATTCAATGCTATCGATCTGCTGAAAATACATCATGACGACCGTTGTATATATTTTATAATATAATTTTTTTCGGAAAGGAAAAAGAATTGTTCATTTAAAATTTATAACTACGATATGTTATTCTTGTCGTGATTCATAAGAGAAATGTTTATGTTTGAGAAGTAGAAAGCTTTTTTTTTTACAAAAAGATGTCTGAATAACAATAAAAGATTTTTCCTGTGGCAGAATTATTAGTAAGCGAGTACTATGAGCATAGGAACAATAGAAAACTTAAGAAAAGATTGTTGCTGATTCAAAAAGATCTCATTAAACAGTTAGAATTGCAGCAAGATATATCGACTATTTCATATTCATCTGACAATACTTTATAATCACTCCCATTCTTTATACAAACATGAACGTTATTTGTTAACTATGTAAATAGACTTGTATAAAATTTATTCAATATTGATATGAAAATCTGAGAGCATTCATAGCATACCTTGTTCAAAATCTATAGCTATGGTGTGATTGACATCTCGCATTTTAGTTTTATTAAAAGAGTTCTCATAATCATTATTGTATTTATTAGAATACTGATAGCATTGAAACCTTTTAAAAAGTTGACATGCCTCTGTTAAGAATTCAATAGAAGATGATAAACGAAATTTTCTATTGCTCATTGATTGTGTATAACTTAATCACAAAAAAAAAACAGAATAAAAATAAATAATTCATAATTAAAGACTGAACAATAAACTGTTAGAAAAAGAGCCTATTTACTTCTTTTGGCTTTTGTAGGTAAAAAAAAAGAGAAACATGTTCTTTTACACGCATTTGATTATGATCTCATGCTCCTTTTTTTTTGTATTACAGTAGAAAAGAAACTTGTTGGATAGTATATGATCAATGTCTATAGAAAAGCTCTTAGCACAATCCATTCCTAATAAAAATGTGAGACACAGTGTAGTTGCTGTTGCTAATCACGAGAGGATTCTCTCACTCTATCTATTTCGGAACACATTTCTTCACCTTCTTTCCACTTAATCCTCGAGACACCCAGTAAAGAAATAGTTTATATATTAGAACGAAAATTTCTTGATATACGGTCTGTGACAAAGGAAAGACGTTGCTAAGGATATCTGTCATGTCTATAAAGAGAAAGAGTTCAGATTTCTACCCCTACATATCAATCCTTTTAAATCATGCTTCATAAAGAGCCCATAACACATATTTTTATTCTTATTAACTGTTTCCATTTGATATCAGAGCTCATAGGTATCTAATTAAATAAAAGACAGGCTATAATAGATTTTATTTTTTTTTATTATCGTGTTTTTTTTTCAAAAAAATTCACATACAAGTTCTCATAACAGTATTTAATCTGTTTGTATAGTGCTTTAACAATCACACAACCAAAGAATTTTTTATTAAAAAGAAATGTGCTTTTGGCTAAAAATCGGCAATGAATGAGTATACTAATACTATCAAAAACAATGAAAGATTGTTGTCGGACAGATAATACACCATTGCATAAGTCTGAACTGCAGCAGCACATCAAGATTTTTCCCAAGGCGAGCGTATCTATTTGAAAATATTTATTTTCAGCCAACAAGTATTCACTAACACCAACAACACTTTGATTGATGATATCAACAGAAACTTTAGTTTTCTATGAGAAATATCATTAGTCTTTACAGTATAATTTATGAGAATATGCACTCGGCATTGTTCGTTAGCTTGTGCTGTGACTTTCCATACATCTCCAATTTATTCCTTCTTGAAAGGATTATTACAACCAGGTCTATTGATTATTTACCAATGACAGTAGTTCAATTTTCATTTCACATATAGATAAAATTTACATACATTGAGTCGACAGTTATTTTTGTTGTTTTTTATTTTCAAATTTTGAGTAAAAGTATTTTCTTCTGATAGAATTCTTTGATACAGAAAACTAAATATTTATTGAATTATGTACTACATAGGAAATAATGTTTCTCCTCGAGAGTACCACACTGTGATTTCAAATAGAATAAACAATAAATTTTATATCAAATGAAAGCTCGTCACCAAAGAGATTTATTAATATTACACAACGTTTCATTTTTAATCATTTCACGATATTTTTCATCTTCTTCAATATCTTCGATACTTTTTGCTCAAATTCAGTCAATTTTATAATTTGATCTTCGAACGACCCATACATAAAATTCGTCAAATAGTGCGAGCTAAAATATGAGTTTCCTTTTTTAAAGGTTTTAGAATAATATGAAACAATCTTAATCCTTTTTCTATGACGATAATTATTAATTGTATTCGTTAGATGATGAAAACATAAACCTAGTTTTGTATCACATTTACTTCGAACTTTATCTCATGAATAATTTTTCTCATCTCTATAGTGATAAGTTCCTGGAAAACCTTGAATTTTCTACCTAGTATGTTTTCCTTAGTTAATGATGTATGAAAACAATTAATGCACTGGAATATGAAGACAAAATAGAAGATTGTTTTCCAATGTATGAAACAGTGCGATGCAAATTCGATTTATAGCAA